TGTAAGATTCTTGTTGATGGAGTGAGTTGGTGATTCAAGGCTATGGACTTAAGAATTAAGGTGGTATACGAAGCTTATAATTTCTCAAAGCTTGAAAACCTTCTTCTTCCTTCTTCATCTCTTTTGCTTGGAGTTGAGATAAGGAAAGTTAGAACTAATTTATAGTTGATTTATTGGAGAATATTATTATAATTTAATATTTAATTAAATATTATTTATTCAATTTATGTTCTTATGTTTTAATATTTTTAATTAGCTTTCATTGACAATTTTAAAAATTAAATCCTATTAATTTAGTTACTATTTTAAATTCAACTTTTATTTTATATTATTGTTATTTATTTACTTTGACCTATATGTACAAAATTTTGTACATGTTGAGATTGTCACTCATTTGTAACATTGCACTAGTTGCATCAACTCTATACATTTTGCATTCATTAATCAATATAGATACACAACACTTCACTCATCTCTCCTTCTTTAAAAATTATTTGTGTTATTACTTAATATATTTTGAAGCGGTGTTTTTTAGTTTAGAGATTTTTTTTTGCACTCAGTTGGTCTAATGGATTGTTATATCTTGAAAAAGGAGTGTATTACAAAATAATATACTTGTGTAGTGGGAATGTTTTATTTATAAGGATAGTGTATAGCGTGATTCAACCTAATATTTTGTAAACTGTCTTATTAATTTATTTCAATCATTATTATTTAATTTTATTATTTGTTGATGTTCATCTTGTAATTTTATTTTTAATTGATTTTCTCTATCTAATCATTTTTTTCATTTATTAGACTTAAAAAATTGAGATATATTTTTATGAGATCGAATTTAGTTATACTAAAACTAATAATTTCTTGGTTTAGACTTTTTTTTTTATGTTATAAGGTATATTGAGAAATGTTTGAGAGATCTTATATAATTTATAAGAATAACTTATATAACATACAAATTTTTTTAATATTGATAGACTTTTTTTATATATTTTATTCTATAAAGATGTGCAGTGGTTGGATTTTATGATAATTTATTTTTTATATTTGTATTTATTTATATATGTGAATGGTAAATTTTAAAGCTCATATAATGATTGGGGTAAAAAAAACTCATAATGATTTTTATTATATGTAAAAAGATATATATGAAATTTTAATTTTAATGCCTTAGTTTATATTTTGATCATGTTTTGATTATTAAATATTTATACTTTTCAAATTGTTGACTAGTGCATGGTATTTTTTTCTGTGTCACAATTTTTTTTAACTAAATGTCATCGTTATCAAAATCGGACCAATCGAAAATCAATCCTTATCCAATTTTGCTAGATCATAAAATCTTTTAACAACGAATCAGTAGAAAGTTAGTAGAACTGACACTACACTAATATAAACTTGTTATTGTTAATAGATAATATTATATTTATTAAAATTTAAATTTAAATATTATATTATATTTAATTTAAAAATTTTCGTATACAATAAATATTAAGAACTTATAAATAATATGTTATTTCGATTTTTAGTATTATAAAATTATAAAATTATATTTATTTAATAATATTTTTGTATTAATAATTATTGATTTTATTAATGTGAGTTTAATCACGAATGAATTATTAAAACTTGAATCAATGTCTAAATTGATTCAATGACTTGTTTTATTTTGAAAATATTAATTGGATACAAATAAAATCTCATTTCATTAAAATCAAAAGAAAAATAAGAGTTTATAATTAGAGTTAATCACCTATATACTGTCCGTGTAAAATTTTTTTACACTGACAACCAATCATATCTTTAAATAGTGTCATGTTAATTGTTTATTTAATAAAATAATAATAAAATAAGTAATTTTAAAAGATATGATTGGTTGTCAGTATAAAAAACTTTACACTGGTAGTGTATGGATGATTAACTCTTGTAATTAAGATGCATAAATTTCATTGGTGAGAGATCTTTTGAATAATGATTAAAAATAAAGTTAAAAGACTTTAAACAAAAATTGGACAATATTTTAATATTGTAGAGATGTATGTGTAAATAATCGATAAATAACAAAATATAATCATTTTGTTAACAAATATATCCCAAAAAAAATGTTTAACTCAATTGAATTGGTTCACAACCAATAACTTATAACCTATACAATGACACAAATAAATAGTAATAATAAAAATATAATACAAAGATAAACTCTTTTAAATGAGATATTAAATACTTTGTATGAGGAGTAATGTTGAAATACTTATATATTAGCTAATAAATAAGTTTATCCCAACAATACTTTTGTAAGCACTAATCTAATTATGTGTTAGAAAAGTATCTATTAAAAAATTTAAAATGAAAAAACATTTGATCATGGAGATTTCAATATCACGGGAGAATTCATGACAAGGAAAAGGCGCGTGCAGACATAAATTTTTTTGTTGGTACAACGAAGAAAAAAGAAAAAGAAAACAGAAAAAACAAACTGTAAACGATCATATCTAGACTTGATCTTGTAAACAGTCTCACTACATGATTCTTTGGCATAATGAACCTGTGTAACTATAAATCACATCTAAACATAGTTTTTTCTTATCAATTTCAACATCAACCACAATAATGCATTCCTTATAACAAAAAGAATAAACAAGTAAGTGTACAAATGAGATAAGCATAAGCATAGGGTTCACATCTTTCAATGGAAAGAACCTAAACATTAATAATGTCCTCATAAACCAATATTCAGGTTCTCAAGAGGGACGAGTCCATAATGAAATACCAGACATTCAGAACTGATAAATGCCTTTCAGCTTCAGTCAAGCATGCAGATTCTGGGATGGGATGCGTGACACTGTGCCACATTAAATGCACAACAATTAATGGCTAAGACCCAATTCTCCTTCTTCTTCCACCATTGTTTTCTAACACGGTTAGCATCCAACAAAATACCAAAAAAAAATTGCCATTACATTTACGCAATTAACAATCAATGAGGGGCCTAGTGACCATTCTGGTTCATCCTAACTGATATTGACAGATGAGCAATTTTAACTTTATATGACATAATGACAACCTATATACTTCATAATAGTCTGGACCCAAAACAAAGATGTAGCATTGAAATATCAAACCATAATAGTTTAATCGCACTTTTTATCATTTATATTTTATAATCTGTAAATTTTGTTATCAGTGTCTGTTAATATGATATATTATGTTATTTTATCATTTATATATTATATCAATGATTTATATCATCTGTCAATATAAGTCATGACCAAAAAGTAATAAAATGTGTAAAATTTTAAAAATAAACTTTGAAAATTAAGTGAAAAAATTCGGAAAATCATTCAAAAAGAGTGATAAAAGAATGCGATCAACCCCCCGGGTGTAATTTGCTTATTGGCTAAATGGGATATAGATATCATTTAATTGAGGGTGCAATTTGGTCACCTAATTTGGATATGAACGTGAAAAGTAATAAACAAGTAAATTTAATTAGCATCTGATAGAGAAAGCAATTTGGTCACGCGATCATTAACTGTTTAATGTTTGGCACATTACTGGGATGGGTTATTACTATTACAACAAGGAGTAGGACAGATGAATAATTTATATACGAATAAAAAGCTCATCATTTTGTGAACATGGTTTTACTCATTACCATGTTCTCACACTGAACTGTATGGTGATTTCACAAAATCCAGACCCATGCATGCTTATTGTATGTATAAATTGTCGTCTAGTAGTGTGTACCAGTACTTCTACTTCTACCAACGTGATCACACACTTCATCTCTGCCTCGGGAGTGGGTGAAATTTGTTTGCAATTGAAGACTTTTGAGTGAAAATTTCTGAACCTTGTAAACTTATTCAAAAGGCCAGATTTTCCGTACCACCCTTGAAATTTCAACAGTTGAGACTGAAATAAGCTTTAGAGTGCAATGATAGAACAATGAATGATTGCAAGTTGAAACCATGTATTTTATTTTATATATCATGTGGGGATACATATACTAAAACTAGCTACTAATACATATTTTAACTGATTAAAGAAACCACTAAATGTAGCAAAAGAAAAGACACTGTTCTGCATCAGTCTTTTCCTCGTTAAAGATATATAAAGTATATATGATTAAAAACAAAACAAAAAAGGGTCCTCAAATCAATAAATTTCATTCCTTAAAATGTATTTGTATGCAAAAACTTGGCCCACTTTTAATATAACCCTTTGTTAAATATAGACACTTGTCCAAAATTGAAGATAAAACAGGCTGGCATTGAAGGAAATTGATTAAAAATAATGCATGAAATGGTGGTTAATGAAATGAACAATGTTCCAAATTGTCAAATTTCTAAGTCGTTCATAAATAAATATTTTTTAACATTTTGTTTTTTTTATAATGTATGCCATAATCAAAACTATTGACTATTGTGTACAGGGTGGAGTCTAATTAACTACAATGAAAATCATAATGAAAAATAGTCACAGACCTGTATTATAATAAGTGTGAATAGATATATTTCTTTATTTTAAATAAATAATTAGTATAAATTTAAAATATTGTATTTTTTAATTTCTAATTTTATATTAAATTTAACGATGATTATTTTTTATATTTATATTTTAATCTTTATATATATAATAATTTTTATTTATAAAAAGAATTCTCTCACTAACCTAACATCTCGAATCCCCTGTTGGAAAGGAGAGAAGAGATGCATTATTTCTCTTTGAACGTGAAAGAGAGAGGGGGTTGCATTAAAAATGGAAGAAGTACTGACAATCTATGATGCTAATTCCACCCATTTTCGTTAAAGACAGAATTGTGGGTCAAAGTTTTCGAGGAATGGTAATTAAATACAAATTCTGTCTGGTTGATTATTTCGGTGAAAAGGACATTAATTCACCTTGAGAGTGAGAGAGAGAGAAAAGAGAGAGAGATTCCATTTTAATCTGAGGCTACCTCTAGGTGCTATTTCACTAGACTTTTCACTGTAATACATTCTGTAATCATAGGTGTTTGATGAAGAATGGACCCTGCTTTAGGCTATTACATTTTTACATATTGCACTATTATTTAAACAAACTCCTCCCACTTGCCTCAACTTCATCTTATCAACCCTTCCCTGTTTGCTTTTTTCACAATTCACTTCCTTTCTAGAGAGTAAGAGAGAGAGAGAGAGAGATAACAGCACAAAGATGGAGCTTTCTCAACTTGGTTTTCTGGATGAGCTACTTGCTCCAAGAAAAGACACTTGGAGTGCTTTGTCCTCTGGTTTGAATGAGTTACTCCCTAGTGGTTGGAGCTTTGACTCTTTTGATGACAACCAAGGTTTAGGCACTTTCAATCCCTCATTTGCTGCATTTTCAACTCCACTAGACCATAGATTTGAATGTCCTTATGGAAGTGAAGCATCATACCCTTTTGTTGATGGGTTCACATTGCCAGAGCTTGATTCATCATACACCAGGAATGATGAGTCAGTACCACTTTTGCCTCAAGAAGATAACCCCTCATTGGAGGATGAAGAGTTTGGCTTTCTGGGGAGTGATAACCAGAGTTTGGAACAAGCAACAAATGGCTGCAAAATTGAGGAACAAGTGACAGAGATTCCAGTCTTCAACATGGGCATGTGTGGAGAGAAAAAGCCCAAATCCAAAAAACTTGAAGGGCAGCCCTCAAAGAATCTCATGGCAGAGAGAAGGAGAAGAAAGCGTTTGAATGATCGCCTCTCCATGCTAAGGTCTATAGTCCCTAAGATTAGCAAGGTGATTCAAAAAGATATACAATGTTTTTGTTTTTTTACATCATTCTTACCTTGTCATTTCCTTTTAATGAATGTCTCAATCAATGGAAATGAAATTGGCTTTCTAAGTTTATGGTATTTTCATGATTATTCTTACAAGCATTTCTTGTTTGATTTGCTCTATAACCTTTGAACTAACATGAGAATACAAACCATGCCAGATGGATAGGACCTCCATTCTTGGAGATACCATTGATTACATGAAAGAGCTTCTAGAAAGGATAGGTAAGTTGCAAGAAGAGGAAATGGAGGAGGGAACAAATCAGATAAACCTCTTAGGCATTTCTAAGGAGCTAAAGCCAAATGAAGTAATGGTAAGAAATTCCCCCAAGGTATGGGTTAGTTCTAGTTACTCACTCAAACAAAACCCTGAACTGATGCATAGCCATAAACCAAGTTCCTGAATTGCTATAATTTTTTTGCAGTTTGATGTTGAGAGAAGAGACCAGGACACAAGGATCAGCATCTGCTGTGCCACAAAGCCAGGATTACTACTGTCCACAGTGAACACCTTAGAAGCATTAGGCCTTGAGATTCACCAGTGTGTTATAAGCAGCTTCAATGATTTTTCAATGCAAGCCTCTTGCTCGGAGGTTTGTATTCTGTGACATATTTTAGTGGCCCCTATATTTATTTACATCCTTGAAACAATGAAACCAAACATGTTACTTTTTTTTAACTTATTGTTCTCATGGTCTTAGGCAGCAGAGCAGAGAAATTGTATGAGCCCGGAAGAGATAAAGCAAGCACTATTCAGAAATGCAGGTTATGGTGGGAGATGTCTCTAGGAGAAAGATGGAGGAAAGATGATATAACAATATGCAGATGTTGAAAAAGAAGCAAAGTTTTCCTCTTGTGTAATTCAAGGAATTAGGGATGTTACATAGTTTAAGAGATTTCCCAATAAGTTGGCTTTGGCTGATGCTTTGATTCTTCCAAGTTATAACTTTACCCTGTATTTTAGCATACTATGGGGTATATATTTAGTTCAAGCCTCACTTTCCCCCTGTGATAAATATCCATTTTTTTTACTAATGAAGGAGGGTTGTTGCCAAACCCATAAGCGGAATGAACCTGATTTTAATAGATTCCTAAATATGCGGTTGCTTCAGAATTTCATTTCTGGGACATTATTAAACAAATAATTATGTGTCACCTGTATCCTGATGCCGTGGCCACACAACAAGTGGATGACACAATTTTAAAAGGCTTCAGATATCTAACACTTTATGAGAAGTAAGGTAGCCAAGTGAATTGCATAACAACCACTTATAAAATGATTAATCGGCAAGTTGCTTCATGATTTCTCAATAATTTCAGGGCGTGGTAGTCCCGTCCCGTCCAAGGACCAAATAGAATGTTATGTTAAGTTGTATAAATCAGCTCCTTACTATTACAACATTATTGTTGAAATAAATATGATCCTCTTTTTATTTCCGGATAGGGAAAGTTACATCTTGGGGGTGCCTTTTAAAGTTCTAAAACTTGCTGCTAACGCAGTATAACTGCAAAATTACTGATATCACAAGTACAACAATGATGATGAGCTAGGTTTTGTGACTTGGAAAAACCACTCATCATGTTACCCTCCAGAAAAACCTATTCATCATCAAATTTCATAGGTTCAGTTCAGTTGCTAAGTTCCATCGGTTGTCATGTTTGTAAACTAGTTAGACTCAACGTAACGTTAATCCATGAATCTATTTACTTCTATGTTTATGTATTGGAACTTGTGTAACTTCCATTGAAGGCGCTTATAAACGGATATCTAAACACAAAAAGTGATTGAGTTAAGAAAACACCTTGTGGAAAGGAAACAGATAGCAATGACATGAAAAGAAATATGGCTAACTTTTTTTTTTTTTTTTTGTAATGACACGTGCTAAGTTAACCATAAAGCAAAGCATTTTTATCCTTGTCAACACAACTAAAGAACCAACTATTTTTATCCTTGCCTTTTATGTTTCATTTGCTTCTCTTCTTTTGGTTACACTACTTTCCACTCTTCTTATTTTTGGTTTCACTCAAAATATAAGGTACATGTTAGAAGTTTGCATGTTGCATCCGTGAGAAAAGTCTGCCATCGAATAATACGAATTAACACCTTAGATGGTGAGAAAATTCAACGTAGTACATTAATGTTCCTGATGGAATAATCATCTACTTTCTTCAACTTAAACTTCTAAAAGCATCAAAGAACGTAGAAAGTGTAAAAAGGGACTTAAGATATAGTACCACCAAACATTCGAAGGCAACTTGTTACAAGAGACAAGCAACGAAAATTTACAAAATAAAATTGAATACTAAACCCTTTTTGCACAGACTTCAATGCGTTCAGTTTAAAACAAGCTACTGTATGAAAGACTTTGTTCACATCACTGCATGTATAAAATGTGATGTTAAATATTGCGAGTGACCGATATCGACAAGGTACAAGACATGAAATGGATACGGATAGGGTCAAAAAGATTCCAACTAGTTAAAAAGTAATTCATTGAGATAACAAGACATAAGAAATATTTCTGTCACAAGTGATTGTAAACCTTACATGTTCTTATTCACCAACTTAAAGCTTTTCTATTAGTTGGTTTATAACCAATTGAGTAAATGTTTTAGGATTTGATTCCTTGCTGAAACAAATCTTTAAAAGATTACGAAAAGTTTTTACTTTTTTATGTTTGATATTTTACTTAAAAAAATATTATTTTTATAAGAGAGGTGAAAAACTAACATTTTTGAATTAAAAATAAAATTTTTAAAAAAATTACCAGACGCAGTCACGCGCAGGTGTGTAAAATTAAGCAATAAATACAAAAGTGGTGCGTCAGCCGGGAGTCGAACCCGGATCTATTGCTTGGAAGGCAATTATCCTAACCGTTGGACTACTGACGCTGGCCATGATGGGGGAATTTAAAATAGATTTCAATGATAGTTTAATTTTCTTATAAAACTGATAAATCACAAAAGTAAATGATTTTTTTTAAATAAACTGATTTAAGTATACAGTAAAACACGAAAAAAATTGCAATTTAAAAGTTACATTAGATAAAAGATACACAATATCAGTTGGAGTGAAAGTAAAACAATAATTAATATCTTTATTTTCAATGAAGTATAAAGTGTTTTTTTACAGGAATTGCTAATATAAGTTTTGATGTACATTCATCATGTTTTATTTGCTTTTCTTCTTTTCGTTACATTGTAATACATCTTTAAATTGTTTCAAACGATACATAATAGTTTAAATATTGCATCGCGAAGAAAACTCCAGATCAAATTATCTATATTTTCATTTTTCGCAAAGGGTCTTGATACCATCTATTTTCGTCATGTAACATATAGAAGTTTCAAAGCATGAAAAAGGAACTCTAAATCAAGTTAACCTTCAACTTGTTATCATCTTGAATTGGATACTAGCCACTACTTCTAAAGCTACTACACGCAAAATTCTAAGATAGAACTTATTACTAAAAGATAACAGAGGCAGCTCTCTCCCATTGTGATCAATATTTCAAGCTAAGTAACTAAACAAACACAACAATTGTTGGTATGATCTAAATGTAATACAATACATCTACACTCTATATATGGTACGAGTTGATCTCACGAGCAATTTAACTCAACTCCTATGTGCAAATTATTTCCTGTGATGGGGGTAAAGTACTTGTAAAGGCATTGCAATGTCTGTTAAGTGAATAAAAATTCTAACAATAACAATAAAAAGAATATACCATAACTTGGACCATGCAGGGTATTTTTCTGTTCTTGCGTGGATGAGTCACAACTGTGTGACCTAATTCAGGCCCCGTAGCTCAAATCCAACAACTCAAATAAACTGCGAAAGTGCTTTGGTGGGAAAGAGAGGAAGGTTTCGGAGACATCTCTCTTGGTTAGGCGAAGATCCAGATTTGTTGTCTGAATTAGATCGGAAGCAGAAAACAATGCCAGAATATATTGAAAGTACGAAAGGTGAATTGCTCATTTTATTACACCTACATAAAAAATTAAAAATACAACAAAATCTGTTCTTTGGAAAAATAGTTTTCGACTAGACTAGGGACACTACAATTTCTAAAACTGCAAGTCAAGCTACTGTACATGCAATTAGTCTACTTTTCACTAAAACATGAGAAAAACCTATTGACTTTCATCTTCAAATTCAATGCCATCGTTATCTTCATCGGAACTACAAGTGTTGCCCATCAAATTGACTTGCGACTGTTGAAATTTATTGATAGCATCTCTAGCTTCAGAAACCAAGGCAACTTTTGCAGCTTTAACTACATCCTTTTTCTGAATGCTTCTTCCTTCACCAATTCTTTTTGTAGAGTCTGCTCTTCTCCTAGATTCCCTACAGCGCAATTGATTGATATATTTTTCATGCATTACCCTGTTCTTTACTTGCTTTAGTACTGGGGGACTAACAAGATCTTTAGCATGCGAGCCACTAAATCTTGAAAGCGGCTTCTTATGGATTGAAGATGATGTTTCAGTGCAAATTTGCAGGAACCCTTTGTTTTCCTTTTGCTGCTTCGGAGTAGAAAGTGATTCACTAGGCTGTAAAGCATTAGTAGAAAATTCAATGTTTGGTTCAAGAACAGAAAATATGTCCCCGTCACGGGTTAGATCAACCTTAAGATGGCGCTGTAACAGCTTCTCAACGGACTTCTGGGTAATAATGTTCTTTGGTTTTAGAACATTAGATTTTCTAACTGTTTTAGGAACAGGTTTGAGAAGTTTACTAGCAGATAAAGAGAATTCATGAAGGGGCGATGACAGCAATGCCTTTGCCCTCGATCGAGGCTGAGATTGAGGTGGTGTCATATAGTCACAGTGAATTCTATCAAAGCAATCTTGTTGAGACTTTCCAGGCACCTGCAACAGATTTTCAATGACAATGATTCAACCAATTCAAGAATAAAATATATCAATAAGCTAGCCCCAAAAAATGAAAATGGTCTTGGTGTATCCGCCAAGCAATTGACTACAACAGACTATAAAACTGCATTTGTTCTATAAGAAATATATACAAACAGGAAATAAAGGCACATTAACACATTTGATTTACTTCTCACTTTTTGGCTTTAAAAGTTGTTTTCTAACACAAATCCATGTTATTCAGCAATCAATTACTCGTTCAAAAAAAAATAATTTCAAAACAAGTGTTTTAATGACCAAAAAATAGAAAGATATTTTCTCATTCTCTTTCATCTTTTTCATCTTTTTTAAAACTAAAAACTGTTTTTCATCTTTTTTTAAACTAAAAACTGTTTTTCAACGTAGAGATCAAACATACCTAGTGTTTAAAAACCCGGATCAAACCCGGATCGAACCGGCCAGTCGGACCGGGAACCGGTGGTTCAGCCGGTCCGAATCTTAAGTTGGATCAGTTATGCAGTCAACCCGTTTCAAACCGGATTAAACTGGTCAATTTTCCGGTTCAACCGGTGAACCGGTGGGTCAAACCGGTTCAACCACTTTTTTTTCTTTTTTTTTAACATTTTTTTTAAGGGACCATAAACCACAAAAATAATAATGAAAATTGAATATCTTAATGGAAGAATAAAGATTCTTATTAAATACTAGCAGAAAAAAGGCACTTCGTGCCTGCATTGTATTAAAAAAACTAAAAGAAAAAAAAATGAGAAGTTACTCATAAAAAAGTAGTTATTAAAAAATAAATAAAGGATAAAATAATTCATGTAAAAATGAGAACCAAAAGTAATTATTGTAAAAATGATTTATTAGTTTCAAATTCTTAAATTTGATTAAAAATATTTTTTCTAATTTTTTAACATAAAAGGGTATAATGGTCCAAAAAAGTGGAGACCAAGGTAGTTATCAAAATGGGTATCCCCTTTATATATTAGTATAGATTAGTATAGATAACAATGACTGCTTGTTCTAATGTATTTGTTTATAATATATACAACTTAAATAATTTTTATAGTATATTATTAATTTTAAATTATATATTTAATAATATAATATCTATGTAAATATTACATAAATTATTTTGTGATATCAATTGCAAGCATATTATATGTGTACATATTATTTATATTTTTAATTTGTATTAATATACAGTTTAACATGTAATTTTTTATATATTTTCTTACAAAATAAAAATAAAATTTTAAAATAAGATAGAAAAATTGAAATTTAAAATAAGATATGAATTTATTAAAATTTATAAGTATAAAATACATTTAATTTGAATATTTTTTTAATAAAAATAAATAAAAATCGAGTCATGCGGTTCAACTAGTGACTCACCGGTTCAACCTTTGACCCACTGACCCAGTACCTTAACCGGTTCGATGAGCGGTCCGATTTTTAAAACTATGAACATACCAACAATTTTTTATAGCAATTCCTTCATGTTTGGATATATGAGTAAAATGCAATAAAGCTACCATGCCATTGTTTTGTATATTTTTACGACTAAACGGAAACTACCTCATACCCTGATTTTTAAGGGGACGGAAAAGGTTATACTCCATTCCATCCGAGTTGATTGGATACAAAAACAAAAAAAGAGTAACTTAGTATCAATCCGTACTACATCACTTCATTCAAACTCACACATATCATTCCATACTACATCAATTCATTCAAACAAACATACCATTCCATAGTACATCACTTCATTCAAACACACAGCTATTGACATTTCAGAGTTATACTTTTTGGCTTGAAAGGTTAATGCTTACATAATCACTTATCCACCACAATCGTTAGCTGTCAAATACCAAGCAGGCTCTTGAAGAATCATCATCATATGTGTTTTAAAACATTTGAGAACCAAGGCAGAAAGAAGACAAGCATATTAAATTTCATTGATCCTATTCACATCAAACTCTTTAACATGTAAACCATTTAACAGGCAGCTTTCAAAATTTGCACAAGCCAATCCCAATCATGCAAATTTCAGATAAATTACTACTTGATTATTCTCAAACTCAATTCCCAGTTAAAACCAAACAAAAAATGAACATTTTCACTCAGAGACGGAGAGAACGAAGCATACCAGTTTGGAAACGTTCTTCCAGAAATGTGGACTAGGCTTTGCAGCCAAATACGCTCTTTCAAGAGCCAACTCTTGTTCCTCCGTCCACCCTTTCCCAATTTCTTCACCATTGCGCTTTCTCTTCTTCCCCTTTCCCCTCTCCTTTCTTCCTCCACCAAACCCCTCATCCAAAACGACACGATTTTCTTCCGTTTTAACTTCAACCCGCTTCCTCTTTCTCTCCTTCTTTCTCCCTTCACCAAACCCCTCATCCGAAACGACACGATTATCTTCCATTTTGACTTCAACCCTCTCCCCATTTCCCCCCTTCTTTGCTCCTCCACCAAAACCCTCATCCGAAACGACACGATTTTCCCGCGTTTTACCATCAAGTCTCTTCCCATTTCCCCGCTTCTTCGCTCCTCCACCAAACCCCTCCTCCGAAACGACACGGTTTTCCTGCGTTTCAGCATCACCAGCCTTCACTCTGGCGGCTCTCAATTTTTCATCGCTTGTCTCTTTGTTCAACCTGGAAGATCGTCTGAGATCGATCCCATTGTTCAGCCTCGGCGATCTTCTCGACGCAACAGCGCAGTTTTGGGCGGAAACGGTGCGTTTTGCGGATTTGGGGTTGGGAGTGTTGTGGTGTTGTTCGGGGAAGAATCTCGGCGACCTTCGTGGGGTGTGGACGAAGGAGTTTCTATCTGGCATTTTCACGAACACTTGATGGAGTGGCTTCTACTAAACGAAGACGAAGAATCAGAAACAGTGAAACATCTTTTTTGAATTCAAACTTGGAACGAATGGCTCGTCAACGCTTAACCAACACTCCTTTTGGGTCTTTACGGGCCACAAATATAAACCACGGCCCAAACCTTCCCTACGTGTTGGATTTTTCAGTAGAAAAATTAATTTAATATTTAATATTAAAATATATTGATGGTGTAGAAAAAATTATACTATCATCCATCAATAGGATAATATAAAATTATTAATTTTTAGAATAATCACTTTAAAACTATACTTAAAATATATTTTTATTAGTTGACAATATAAAATTCTTTCCATTCATTGTGCCTAAAAAATTAAACTAGTATCTTTGACCTCCTCTCTATTTTATATTTAATATAAAAAAAAACTCACTTTTACAATTTTTACAAAATTATTTCATATATATATATATATATAAACTTATTTTTTTTAGTTATTTTTTGTAATTGTTAAGGTTAGTTAGTACGTTTAAAATTTGTAAAACTAGTTGTGCTTGTTGTTACTACAACAATGGTTAAGGCTATTATCATTTAAAATAAAAATTAGCTTCAATTTTATGCGTAAAACTAAAAATATATTTTTGGAAGTTATTATTTGTTAAATAATTATTCATTAGAATTTAAATACTTCCTGTAAAAAGATTAAAAGAAAAAGGAAAAAAGAAGAAGAAGAGGTTAAATACTTAAACAATTACAAAATAAAAATAAAAATGGTCCCCTTTAATTAATTTGTAGATCCGTCATAAAAAAAAATATACACATTATCTCTCTCTCTCTCTTTTTTTTTTTAATCTTTTAGACCAATCTTACAATTTTTGTCATGTCACTTATATTTCTTGGTCTATTAGATTATAAACTAATCTTCTTATTCAAGATATAATGATTGTTAACTCAAAAGATTTTCACACAATTAAAATTAAATATAATATTTTTTTAATAAATAGATCATTTTCATAGCATATAAGTGAACATTTAATTAATATATCATTTATCAGGTTATTCTACAATTATATTTTAACCTCATATTATTATAATATTATTTTTTTAAAAGTCACACAAACTATTTATACAACAAATCTAATTTGAAATAAATAAATAAATAAATGTAAATAGGAAAACAAGTTTGGGCTAATTTTTAACGCACAATTATCTTTTATCCCACCTTTTTACTCTACTAACAGTAAACTATATTTTTTAAACTTATGTAGCTAATTTTCTTTGATTTTCAAATATATATATATATATATATATATATATATATTTATATATTTAAGTCTTGTTATCGTAATTTTTGCTGATAAAAAATCCACGAATCAATAAATTCACGTTCACAATCAAATGATTAATAAGAAAAATATCATTTGATATGATGGATATTAATCTAGGTGTAT